TTATTTACCACCAAACCTCACTTTTGAAGTGTAACTATGCACACGTTATCATGATAAACAAACTCCTACAACAACAAGGGTGAAAAGAATTCTCACTTGAAAAGGTTATGAGGAGAGGGTGGTGGGAGGAAAGGGTGGGGAGGGTGGTTTCCTGGAGTAGCAGCAATATTGGTAGTCACTGATGCTAATGAAACTTGGATGAGCCGTGGCAGTAAAAGGCCAGTAGGCAGACGGAATACTCAACCGTGTAAATTTTCTTTGTGTGAATTTGCAGTCTGTGTTTCCTCCCGTTCTGTCGATTGGTCTACCTGTGAGGCACCATATCGTAGTGTACTACCAGGCCAAGGCTAAGGAAGACCGACAAACTTTACAGAAGAAGCTTATCTTGGATAAAGACGAGCTCGATGCTTCGGCCTGGGTGGACCATGCTACTATTGTAGAAGTGGTGCAAAGTGATGACTTTGGCCAGTCAAGACCAGTACCACAAAGATATATTAAGTTAGTTGCGTGAAATGGATCCTATAGTACTCAAGTATGGCCTCTCGGTTTACAACTAGTAAGCAAGCAGGTCTTGTTTATCAGAGCTGCAACACGTACTGTAGACGCGTGTGTTGTTGTGCAGAAACTTTTGCAGAGATGTTTGTCAGATGTAGCTTCGGGAACAGGCGCGGAGCAAATTGATGAATCAATGAGTTATTGAGTAAAAATTCTACAGTGTGCGTGAAAATCTCATAAAATGTTTCTATCTCCAACTTGACAGAGCCACTGTGCTTGAAAATGGCCAGAAAGTTGAGAAAAATCTTCCTCTTTCAATCCTGATGTCTACCATGCCTCGCACGTCTGAAGATGGACAGGAGTTGAACCAGGAGCGACTCTCCACAGGGACGAAGTTCGCTTTAGGACAATTGGTTAAAAAAGACCTTCCTTCTGGAGGGGCGTGGTAATTAATAAGAGTGTTGAATTCGTCAAGATGATAACGATAAACATAATTAAAATAATGGTATTTATAACTTGTATGCTAGCGTTTTTGTTGCGCATTAAGTCGAGTTTATATTATTTTTTTATTAAATATTTTTCTACCATTTTTTTGATAAGTTCTACGAACATGATTTTGATATATACTCGAATTATATTTTATCAGTTAAACGATTACGATAATACGATTACGATAATAATAACGTTGATCACGACGATGATGATGATGATGATAAGATTTGGGGTGTATGTGCGTCGGTGAGGGTATCACAAGAAATTTTTTTATCAACCGAGTTGATAATGTGAATTGGCCTCCGGAGAGAATTTCGAGCGTGAACAGAGGAATTATGGGTTGTGTAAGAGCGTAAAGGTGCACACGACAACCCTGAAAGGCGTTGTAGGTAGGTTTTAGGTCACGGTTACTTGACCTCAGAATTTTAGGAAAAAAACGTCACTGTAAGGAAAAGGCATAGTGGTTATATATGAATATAATAATATCACCAGATATCCAGGTTACCTCTCGAGGTTGTCGCGTGCACTCTTTTCCCGATAACCTTTCTCGAAACAACTGTCTACAGATGGAGCTACGCAATTGGTGGGAACAATTAGAAGTCATTGAATAATTTTATAAATCAGTTTAGGAGTTAAAAAAATTCTTCGAAGCGCACAGGCTTTTTTATAATTAGATTAAATTTTTGTACAGTAAAGAATTTATGTGTGGGAGGGCACTCAGAGGGTGAGGAATGAGCTGTGTGGGAAACAAATTTGATTTGTTCAATTCATTTAAATCAATTAGAATTAAGGTTTTTAGGTTGAAAAAATGTTTAACAATTTGAATTACATGTGTGCAAATTTACTGTGTATTAATAACGATGGCGTTGCTCCATATTTAACTCGCCCCAGTAAACTACGTTTACTTATCATTGGTTTGTTCCTTTTTTACTTTTGTCTTTGTCATTTTTTGATCACCTTTTTTTGTTTTTCTTCTTTTTTTATCCGTTTGTTTGTTATTTGATTTCTTATTATTTCATCTTTTAAATGAATAATTAGAGGTGTTCGTGTGGTATAACACGATCCAGGCGACAGAGACTGACATCTTTAAAACCAGGGCTGAAAGATAAGACAAGAGCTATCCCGGGGAGTTCAACATAACTTTTTTCATGAGCGTCTGTAGATGGTGTAATAGGCAGCAATGCCCACGAAACCAAAACACGAGAGCTTACTCGCAGGTTAACCCTTTTGACTCCTAAGAGTAACAAGTATATAATTTCTCCTTACACTATCACCCCTTAATCACACATAAAGGTCACGAGAATAAAGAAAATGATCTCCAACTAAAGAAGCTCTTGATTGTTATACAAATTCTCTTGTCAGCACTCAAGGAAACGTATAGAGAACAGAAAGGGAAATATGCATACTGATGTTAGGCTGTGAAGGATTAAACTGACGGTGATAGAAGGAGGCACGAGAGCCCATAAAACGCCGGTAACTAGTTTTTATTGAAAACCTGTCTTACCGGATCAAAACGACAACTACCTTGTCGAAGACGACACTCATTGGGAAGCCAGTCAGACTTCCCAATTGACTGTTACACCTGAGGAGTTAAAAAAATGGTGTGATGTGTATCTTTTTACGCATGCAAGTATCAATATATCAGCAAAATGGTCACGATATCGATTCTTCGCACTGCCTGTGATGCATTTCCTAAAATCTTGAAGGAGCATCTGAGTCTGTTGCCACTCGATATTCGCAATTCGTCGTAAGTATTACTACAAGATGTCTTTTCCTTGTGATTTCTTCAGTCCTCGTTAGGGGATATTTGCCTCTCGAGATCAATCGCGTTTAAGTTGCCCATAGTTTGAAAAATCCAGAAATAGGTAGTTGTTTTAATGAGATTTTTCTTTTAATTATAGATTCTTAACAAACGTTATTCTCCTCTGGTCTACTCCTGGTTTGCGTAGATTACAAAAGATCATTTTCGAGTTACTATTCCTACGATCGTTTCATCGGCAGTAAAAACTACTCATACAGATGACTACGTGGAGGTTCGCGACGGCGAATTTGATTGGCAGGTTTGGTGGAAGAAGGTGATTAATTCCAGTTACAAGTACCTTTTTGTCGAGTTTGTTGGTGACTCGGACTATTCTCCTTCAACGAGGAAGTTCCAAGCTAAGTATAGAGCTGTAACCCTGGGTAACTAATTGATAAGAGAACTCGTAGTCTTTTAAAATCGAGTTTGGTAGATGGTTGTTTTTTAGCTCGATATCCCACCAGCACGTTCTTGGTCGTTATTAACGAAATATAATTCTTTACTTAAATTCACATGCCGGTCGGTCTAATCTAACAAACATCTTTACAAATAAGCTCACGTTCCTCAACTTTACTTTCAAGTACTCAAACAACTCACGCTGTTTTGTAGCACCTACTAACCTTACGGCCTATTCGTTTCTCCAGTTCGTTTGTCAGGGCAACTGCGCTCTCGAACAATTTAGAGCTGAGCAGTTCCTCCGCAGGGATATTCAGAAGTCCAGACCATTTAACCAACTATCCTTTTAACATGATATGCACTTAGAAGATTACTGCATCATCCAAGGAAAAGAATCAGACTGTCCTTCGACACCTTTAAACTCGAGGGTGGGTTTGAGATGGTTCCTCGTCGATAAGTTTACAGAAGGAAACCTATTGTAGAAACTCTGCTTCAGCTATTACATTCAGTGATTGCTCTCTGTGGATGCCGCAGTTTAGATCAGACTCCCTCACCAGCTATAGAGGATTCCAAGCTCGATGTGAAGTTATCAGTAAGAGTTGTAAGTGACTGAGATTTATGTACTTTTCAATATTGGGTAAACACTGAAGTTCAAAGCGCAACTTTCGCTTTCTCTCCAGTGATCATGGTCTCGACAGAAATTTAAATCCAGCCGTCGCAATTTACGAACGTGACATTTTGACCGTCGAACTTTTTCCTCCCTTAGAGAGTTACGAGTGAACCGTTAAGCTGCTTTGAAAAGACACGATGCTTTCTTGTGGTTGATTAAAAAATACCTTTGCGTAGTGAACTACCACCGGGAAGCTGACTCTTAAGTAGTGATCAAGAAAATGTTAATAATTTCTTGTAAATAGTTAGGCCAAACGTAGTCGAATGAAATGCTTTGAGGCTTAGGGAAGACTATGTTTGGGGGAAGATTTGGTTTCTTAACGATAAAAGAAACATGCTCGTACTAATACTTACACGTTGCTATAGAAACTCTAAGCTCCTGTCTCTTTATTACATTGGTTATTCAGTGTACTGTGCTGTTTTGGTTACAATCTTGGTTAAAATCTCATTGCCTTGTGAAGCACTGCTTGTGAAGCAGTCCCAAAGTGACTCTGTGCCATTATTATTACTTGTATTGTACTTATCATACCGATATATAAGGATTAATATACGGTCAAGCGTAGATATGGAATTTCTCTTCGAGTTGAACATAAGAAGGAAAATTCCATATCTACAAGTAACAATTGATGTACTGTTATTATCGTTCCGTCGCTTACTTTTGTTTTTTTTTTTTTTGATAAGCTCAATTAAGGAGGCTCGAACGCCCCACCTATTCTTTAGAATCGATGATGAAGATTTTAAAATATACCAAACAACCATGAAGATGACTAAAAATGACTCATTTTCATAATTAAATCCACCACTAATGTTCCGAGTAGGATGGTTGACGAAACTCTATGAACTCTAGCCCAGGCTGAATGCACAGGCATTGAAATCTTCGTTTTTATAGGCAGTTAGATCTGAACGATTGCTTATCGTGCTTTGAGGAACTTGACTCCCTCTTCATTACAGTCTCATTTTTGTCGTTTTATTGTAAACGATCTTTTATGCGCAGAAATATAAATCTTGGCTTAGTTTGTAGCAGGAACGATTTTTCAAAGGCTGTTTCATCGACTCAATCACACTTTCAGTATAGCTACATGTACTTCTTATCCAGAACTCTTGTTAGTGAAATGTAAAGGCTGGTTCAGAAAATAAGGTAAACGACTCCTTAAGGATTACCAGTCTGACCTGCAATTCCAGAGTGAATTGAATTTCCCGTTTGACCAGTGTCGTTTTTTAAAAGGACCTTGAGAGGACCTGGAAACGGATACCCAAACATTTCGAAACTGCTTCGGTAAACACGACCCAACTCCATAATCCACTCGGGCGGGATCTGAGAATAATGCTTTATCAGTTCGTCTCTCCTCTTAGGATAATTACTGTTTGTTGGAAATTGTGTGAAATTTAAAACTCCAGCTTTCTTCAACGCATATCGTGCGTCTCGGGCAAGGGACTCAAAGCGACCGATGAAGTTGAAGTCCACGCTGCAGGGCCTACACTGGTCATCGTAAGTATTCCAGTGCCAGTTGAGTTGCTCATGTATGCCTTCCTTTAAAATATATTCTATAAATTCCGGAAATGTAACGTCATCGCCCACTTCCAGAGCTCTTTTGGTGGCATTCGGACGGAACTTTCTGATGATTTTTCTGCCATACGTCTCCAGCATGTATCGATCCACTGTTCTCGTAGATGCAAACTTGTCCTTGTAAGCTGACAATAACCAATCAAAAGGTTCTCGGACGAACATGATCTTGTATGATTTATGGAGATAATTCCAAACATCTGTGAAGACGTATTGATCAAGATTTGACAACATCTGCCCTGTTTGTTGTCTCAGTTGCTTAAATGTGGCCCTCCATTGACGACTTGCTATTCTAGGGACCATGCAGAAGACGATGGGAGGAGACTCGATCACTTGAAAGCGATACAAGCTTGGCAAACCACGTTTGTGTTTATTTGCCCGACAATAATTGATCAGAAGCCGTCTTAAGTCACGTTGCCTCTCTTCAATCCCTGAATGCAATATGTCTTCCTGAAGAGAATGTCAAAAAGAAAATATCAATTAATCATATCATATCAAAAGAAGCGAGAAATAAAGAGAACAATTTTCTTATTTTCATCCCAACACAAAATAATTAAGAAGTCACCTTTTTTTCTCCATCTGCCATCCAATTTCTATCTAAGGCCTCGTGGAAGCGAAGAACTGAAATATATTGAAAAATTAAGGAAAACAGTTGAAATATAATCTATCATTGAAAATTTCAGGAAAAATTAGATATTTCAATAGGGAATCTGAGATGATATGAAGAAACACTTATAATTGATAAATGAATAAACTTCGTGATTGCTGTTTATAAAATTTTGAGGACTTCAAACATAGAAGGAAATAAGTCAGCAATAAGTTTTTCCTTTCCTTTTAAGAAAAGTAAGAAACTAACTTTCAGTAAACAGAAATCTTCCTCGATTACAAACATTAAACATAGTAACCACTTGCAGTACCTCTTTTGGCGGACTCCTCAGTTTCGAAAAATATTATCATGTTGATCATCGCATATATGGTAAAAACACAGAACGCAATCGTTGATAGTGTTCGCAACTTGCGAATAATCATGAACATAATGCAAAAAATAGGAGTGAAAGCTAACGTCGCTTTCTGGTTTGACATTGAAACCCGCTTGCATTAATTCAAACTTAATATTCCAAAACGCAAAATAAACGAGCTACAACTTTATAAGTTCGAAGACCACAGTTAAATTATTTAACATCACTTAATTTGGTTTTTAATTTCCATAACGTCTAGTTTTTCTCTTTTTTGCCTTTTTTCATTTCAGTCGCAAAAGAGTGTTGTGACTTCCAACCCTGATGAATTATGTATTGGTGCAAGATTTTTCGGATGCGTCTAACTAATTTTGAATATTTAGAGTTATGTGAGATTTATGCGGACAGCTTTGAAATTCCTTTTACTGTGACGTAAGTGGAGTTGATTGCATTGGGCCAACGTAGACAGGCATCACGATATTACATTTCCACAAAACTTACATACGACAAAAATGATGAACGAGCTAATCCCACGTTATCAAGTTAATCTACTATAGCCCTCTAACAACGGCCACAAGTTCTCAATTCCATTTTTTTTTTCATTTTAGTTTTTCATTGTCGTATGACTAGTTGCAGTGTATAAAGCGATCCCTGTGCAGTGTAGTATCGCAAAATTGTTAAGTACACAGCATTGTAAGCATTGATATTCAGGATATTTTTTTTACTAAAGAACTCCTTAGGTTTATTTATCACGGAAAACTGACATCATTATTGTGGGCAACCGGTAACACGTTTGGCTACTTTTTGGGGAGAAGATTACGTCAAGAAAATTATCTCGAGAAATCAAATGTCTTATAACATTCGAACTGATAGCTTATATGGCATTCTGTTTTTAGATTATTGGCTATTACCGGACTCTTGGATCAAACATCTACTTACATAACCGGGAAGAACTGAGAAATGTTAATTTGAGTGTGGATCATTGTTTAATTTGTGCCCAGGTTACAGAATACGGACTGTCAGAGAGCAAACAAATTTGTGGATAATTTCACTCTCTAAATTGGACTAAAAAAATTGCCTGTTAGCGAACACCCATTTAGTTTTCCTTTTTGCAACTTTTTTGTCAGCTTCAAGGAATAAAAACGGGGACTTTTCTCAAAAAATTGTAAAAGAATATTCAAATACAGAAGAAAAATAAATCCCCTGTAGTCACTAATAAGAATGAAGGGAAAAAGGCCGTGAGATTAGTGATTTTGCGGGGTGTTTATTTTGTTGGAAGGCGCTTATTTAAGGACTTGCGGCATGTCTTAAGAAATCCGATAGCGGAAACACTTCTGGTTTCCCATTGATGGTTTAATTAAGCGCGCATGCGTTTTCGAACCGTTGATCTCGAATCTTCCTCCGGAAAACCAGCGGCAAATTGTAAAGTATGATAATCAGGTCCAGAATATATCCTAATACTGATTTGATAGTCCTCCGCTTTGTTTTTAATATCACATTTATTCAATGTTTAGCTCAGAAAAGCGTGATATATCAAACTTAAAGGATCGTTAAAGATGCTTTACCATTTTCGTTTCCGTGGTTTTCTCTTGCCTTGGGGGAGCAATTTTTCGTTTAGACTGGCAATCTGAAAGCCGCGAAAAACTTTTTAAAATTATCCTATGCAAAAGGTAAGATAATCTCCAGACAGACAAAAGCTGGAAATACAAACATTGAATATATATATCTTATTAGACGTTTTGATGTGTAGTATCGCTGAGTATTTTTAAGAGTTGTGCCGTATTTTGACGAGCCCGTAAGTCTTTCTGCTCATTTCTCATAAGGCGGGAAAAGCAAAGAGGATAGAGAAGCGTAGCGTGTGCAGCCGACTAGTTAAACAGGTTTTTTTACAGTACAAAATAACCAACTGTCCAAATAACCATATCGTAGGATCTTTATACTCTATTCGCGCGTTTTTTGTACCCTACTAAGTGCAGTTGAACAAAAAATATATATATATCGCTTCAAGAGGCAATAGGTTCAATCGCTCGGGGTTCTTCCGGCTCCCCTATTATGCTTAAAAAAATTATGGCACGAAAGAATTAACACTGATATATAAACACACCCACGCTTGATCGATATGAGACTGTTCTCACTTTTGTCTATTCTGATTTCTCAGCATAATTATAACAGCATTGTCACAGTTAGTACTACTGAGTCCAGAGTTCAACTGAGCACAATATGATTAAATATTTTTTTTCCCAAGATCTTAAAATATCTCGTGCAATATTCCTTTAGCCCATTGATACCAGACAAGACAACAATTAAGAAAACTGAATGAATTCGTTGCCGGCGGAGCTAATAAGAAACAGGTGAAATACAACCAGATTATTGGACAGGGATAAAGCCGTTTCTCTTATTCCGTCTGTAAAGTCAGAGCTAGTGATATCTCTCTTTAAATTCTGAGGGGGATATCATTTGTGCCTCTACTTGCTATGGTGAGAAAAATCTAATTTCTAAACCCCTAAAGTTGATAGAAGATGATTTCAGGTACATTGTTCAAACGCTAAGCTCATAGAAATGTGCACTTGTAGCTGACAGTAATAATCCTACAGTGTGATAATACAGGCGAGAAATATGAACCAGCTGGTACTTCTTGACAAATGGAGCACAATTTTCGTGTTTACAGAAAGTTTCGCGTGCTTACTAGGAATTGTCTTGAATGGAATCGTGATCTTTACTTTTGGTAAAAATACCAATCGTAAAATTTCAGCCCCAAGTTATTTCATTTTAAGTATGGCGGTGTGTGATTTCCTCTCATGTGCGTTGGCTGTACCCCTTGCAATCGCGCGGCACTTCCAGGGAGACTGGCCACTCGGTAAAACTGGCTGCAAGGTCCATGCCTTCATGATTTTTCTTCTCGCTCTCGTCTCAATCACTCACTTGGCGATAATTTCATTGGGAAAGTACTTAACAATCACCAAGTCTCTTTCAAAGGATTCATATTTCAACAAGAGAAACGTATTATTGCTAATTGTGGGTTCGTGGATTTACTCTCTTATGTTCAGTGTGCCACCCTTGTTAGGATGGTCCTCATATGGTTTAGAGGGGATCAATGTGACATGTTCAGTTCAGTGGGAGTCATCTGCTTTTAGTGATCGGGCATATTTTGGAGTTGTTATCGTATCATGCTTCTTTCTGCCCTTATTCGTGATCGTATCATGCTACTACAAGATCCATCGAGTATCTAGACTAATTGTTGTAAACACCTCACGAAGGGGGGGAATAACAATACCTGCTTCTCGAGCTCTCATGAAAAGACATCGCAAATCTGCCATGTACTTTCTCGCCATCGTAGCCGCATTTTTGATCCCATGGTTGCCTTACGCCACGGTTGCATTTCTTTTGGCTATTGGTCAAAAAATTAACCCCATAGCTACGAGTGCCTGTAGTGTGTTTGCCAAAATATCGTTCTTCCTTAATCCAATGCTTTACGGAATTTTGCACAGTAAATTCCGCCGACGTTTTATTCATCTGGTTCCTCTGATTAGGAGGAATCGGAGTGTTAAACCATGGTCAGTGGTATTACCCCCGGTATCGCAGACCTTGGCTCTCTAAAGATAAAATTAAACTCTTTCTTTTCTAGATATTTGAATACGTACAGTCAATTTCTTGGTTCTCTATTTTGCTGACCCCTGTGAGTGTCAACCGTGCCAGCAAGCATGAATTAAATGGTAATTAAATGCATGGAGTTGTATAAACGAAAAATTGAAAACATCGTAATGAGGTGAAAAAAACGACTAAAGAGAACGTGTTCGTCCTTATTTATTATGTTCCTGGGTAACAGTTTGTGTCGATCATTAAGCCACAAACGACCTCTATTTTATTGTCCACTTCATCTTCTTTCCATGAGCGCACTTTGTGCGATGCAATGTATGAACTTTATCAGCAAATAAAAGTTGTTCCTCAAAAAAAATGAGAATTAAAAAATGAGTGAGATCTTTTTCCCCACAAAAGGAAATATCTGAAATTAGTGTTTATCACATAAACTGCGGTGTTATACATGGATTTCCGGCTCTTAGAAAAGCGGTGGCAACACACGTGAAAAAATATTGTACTTTCTCACGTGTGTTGATACAGCCAATCAGCTGCTGACACATCACTCGCCTTTGGCGCCAATCGGTCAGGTTGATGAATGAACGGCAAAGACTTCACGATTCTAAATACAAGTTGTTTGTTGGAGCTTTCTTGAATTATGGCGGCTAAAACACTAAAAAATCCGTATCGCTGACAGATAGTGAGGTTCAAACTTTCCTAGAAGGGGAAGAAAACCAATATACTAAAAGAAAAACCGAAAGTTGCGTGGCTTTGATGTCAGCATTTCTCTCGGCTGAGAATGAAAATCGACAACTGGAAGATTTGTCACAGGCCGATTTTGGCCGTTTACCCGAAAGACTTCTTCTGTTGGTAAGGACAAAGTCAATAAATGAGAATTTTGTAAATTGAAAATTACGACAATTGTTGCTTTTGTAATCATGATTCAACGCATTTTTCCATCTTAAGAGTTAGCGCCAACGCACTCGGCGATTGTTATTCGGGGATTATCGATTCACATTAATGAAGTCGGCTTTTCTTCTCAGTAAAGGGCTATTGTGTTTATATGATAAACTAGACCCTGTGAGCAAGGTAACTGGGATACCTGGATGGTACTGGATCCTTGGGATTAAGCGTAATGATACTGCAGGTGTCGGACTAGTAAACTGAAATAGTGAGCTCAAGTCTGGCTTAGGGCAGACACCTTTTTTCAAAAAAGATTGTCATTATACACAAAAAAAACACAGGATTTTGGATCATGTATTTATTAAAAAAGAATTTCCATACAACTACAATGAAAACAAACATAAGATTCACTTTTCTGATCGTGAAATTAATACCATTCGTACTGTAATCGTAACTACGTTCCTTGGCATCAAGTGAATCCATTATGGCTTCTTGCTTCACAAGCTGTTTGCACCATTAGAGTTTTGTTCTTCAGTCTCATGGTAGTAGTGTTGTTCAATAGATTGCAAATAGTATATGCAGTTTGGTTTCAGATTTCAGATTTTGCTTTTTTTCAACAAGTGTACGTTTTTTAACTAAGACATTGGCATAGTTGGCATACAAGGCATATAAGGCATACAAGGCTTTCATGGCTTTCAAGCGTTTGCGACTCAATCCGTTCCAAAAATACCGTTCAATAACATCTTTTAGTGTGGATTGGCCGCGAACAATACGACTTGTGTATGCCTCTGTAAGTATTTTAAGCGTTTGCACCATAAAGCTCCAGGTAATTGTAAACCAAAAACGTAGAACCTCCATCGCTGAAACAACAACCCCAGAACAAATACGAAATGACTGACAAAGGAGTTTTATAAGCAAAAATCTCGTGGTTCGTCATGTGGCCCGGCCCTGTCCGTGCATGACAACGTTAATCATCATTAAGATAACGCACGTGATCAGCATATGAACACCTTCACCTATACCCCTCATTGGATCACAGTTAGTTGTCTTGGTGTTGAGGGCCCAATGACCACTGGGTACTATTGCGCAATTTGTTCATTTTGTGGTGGAGGAAAAAAAAGGCGACAAAAAAACAAAGGCGTTTTATGACTGGGCTACCACAGTGCGCTCATGTATTATTTTATATTTATTATATAGATACTGTAATAAATACCAGGATTTTTTCTTTTACTAAAAAAATCATATCTTCATCGCGCGCAGTGAAGATACTATTTTTATCCTTCACGTGTAAGGATATTGGTGTCACCATGGTTATTAACATGATTAGCCAATTACAAGAGAGTTTCCCGCTCAGGCACACGGCCGGTTCTCTTGAAATTTCATTAGTATAAATAAAGTAAATAGAACATTACATGGCTGCTTGGGGATACGAATTTTATCTTCTCGTGCTGAAAGTATCTCTCACGAGTGAGCGAAACGAACGAGTGAGAGATACTTTCAGCACGAGAAGATAAAATTCGTATCCCCAAGCAGCCATGTAATATCCTTTATTTATCATATAAACTACGGTAGTATGAAAGGATTTCCAGCCCTGAGAAAAGCCGTAATAACCCATATGAAAAGTACGATATATTTTCACGCGTGTTTGATATCGCCAATGACATATCACTTGCCTTTCGCGTCAGTCAGTCAAGTTGATGAATGAACGGCAAAACCTTTACCATTCTCAATCCATTTGTCGGAATTTTCTCGGATTATGGTCGCTAAAACACTGAAAAATCCATAAAGCTTATAGGCAGTGACGTTCAAATTTCCTTAGAAGGTTGTTGGGAACGAAAATCGACTGTTGGTAGATCTGCCGATTTTTGCCGCGTACCTGAAAAATTTCTTCTGTCGGTATGGACAAAGTCAATAACTGAGAATTTTGTACATTGAAAGCTACGCCCACTGTTTGTTTTTTTAATGATTCAAGACATTTTTTTATCTTCAGCCATAGTGCCAACGCACTTTACAATATACATTCGGAGATTGTCGATCCTTTTATTTTCATCCGTTAATAAAGTCGACTTTTCTTGTCAGTAAGGGGCTATTGTGTTAATATGATAAACAAAATATACATCGTTGCTTGTAGATATGGAATTTCTCTTCTGGTGTTCAACTAGACACCTCATTCGTTCGCTGCACTCACTCATTAGCTATCGAGTTGAACATTCGAAGAGAAATTCCATATTTACGCGCGCCCACGCATTATTCTCTATGTACAACACAAGTGAGTAGTGCTTTTTACGCAGGCTAAATTCAAGTACTATTCGCCTAATTGCAGCCGGTGAGACAAAATCGCGCGTCAAGAGTTTAATTTCCGACCATTTTTTGATACATTGGAAAAAATTAACTTATTTTTTTGGTATCTATTTGGTATATACTAAAACAATTATTCACCGCTGTCGGTGAAAATGATGGATTTGTAACTCGCCGCTTTGCGGCTCGGTAAATATTCGCCACCATTCACCTGCATTTTGGTGAATAACTGTTAAATTTGCCCAGAAAAGTAATTAAGTGAAGCAAATCATAAGAAGAAGAACGAGTAGGTTTGACTTTATTCCAATTAGACAAGCCGCGCAGGCGTAAAACGAGTTGATCATGTTGATTGAGCATCAAAACTGGCGATCGCGTTACGCTTTTGTTTAGCTCTAGTCATCACACCATAACCACATACAATACGTACTGAGAGCTCAGTGCTAGGAGTTGTACAGAAAACTTCCCCTTTGCGAACGTTTCTCGAGGTAAAAGTTTGCATGTCGACCATTGTAGCGGAGGGGGCTTCTACAGACGCGTCACGTGATCACAGCCATCAACCAACATCCTGAGGTCATATACAGCGGATCCTCGAACTTAATTGGTGAATCTGACCCCTTTACCCAGTTTGATGTCAAAGAGGATGTTTCTTCTTTGATAATTGCACCATCATCCCTTTCATCGATATCTATTGATAAATCAATTAAGGAGCCTATTTCTGAAAGAATATTACGTAAGTGCACTCAGAGAGGCGCTGCTCACGTGTGGATGTGCGTAACCATTCATCAAATCGTGCGGCAAGAGGCGGTAAAATACATCCTGATTATTTCGTTTTCTTTTTTGAGATATTGCAAACGACTTTTATTTTTTTCGACGCCGGTTGAAATGATTTGAATCATTTCAGAGTCCTTTTTCATTTTATAACTAACAACAAGTTAAAAAGCGAAAACAAAAATTTTGAAAGTTTCGCATTTAAAAACCTTTTTGAATGAATGAATTTGGTGTTCATGACTTCAACCGTCTCATTCGTTGAAAACAATTAGGTTGTCATCATTCGTAAAAAAATTATTAAAAAATGATTATAAAATAGTTTGCTACATTTATGTTTAGTGTACGACAAGTAAAAATATTAACTGACTTTGGTGAAAACCACGCGTCGTTGAAACAAGGCTGCAAATCAATATTATGATGTGTTATGTAACATGTATTTGTATATTCAGCGCGGAATTCTCATTGTGATTATTGAAAGAGGTTTGACTGAGATGATGTCTTACACAGTTACCTAGTAAATCCCCGGTTCGCCGAGATGGTAGGCTACGAAATTCGAAGCTTTGGAAAGTAGCCTATACAGCTTACATGTCGCCACTAGCTGGGAGAAGACGCAGTAGCCTACCACGTGCAAAAACAGCTACCCGGATGGAGAGCACGTGTTTGCACTCAATACACGAGTGTTCGTGCTCCATGTAGGCGGTTTCATAGCAATAAGACTTAAAATCATTTGATAAATGATATCCGTTGTATATTTGAATGCATATGTTTTGTTAAATCTTGGTGGGTGTAGAGTGATAACTTCCCGAAAAAAAGAAAACATAGCATGGAAACAAGTGGTAATTGAAATAATAAAGAAGAAGAAAGCGCGAAGCCCTGAATGACGCAAGGTCTTCTTTTTGCCAACTGAATCGCTGACAAAGATACCATCAAGAAAAAATCCTGAAAGATGACTACCACTCAAAAATGGAACACAATTCTCGCAATCACTCAGCTGTTGGTGTGCCTCTTAGGAATTATTCTTAATGGCATCGTGATGTTCACAATTTTCCGAAATAAGCACAGGCGGATATCAGCGCAGACGTATCTCATCTTCAGTATTGCAGTGAGCGATTTTCTCTCGTGTGCGTCGGCTGTTCCTCTCTCGATAGCAAAGTACTTCTTAAAAGAATGGCCCTTTGGTAAGGCTGGTTGTCAAGCTTACGCCTTTTTGATATTTTTACTGACCCTGGTTTCCATTACTCACTTGGCCTGTATTTCAGCTGGAAAGTATCTTACTATCACTAGATCTCTTTCAAGGGACTCTTACTTTAACACGAAAAAAGTACTACTCATAATCTTGGCCTCTTGGATTTTCTCACTTTGCTTCAGTTTGGCACCTTTGGTAGGATGGTCAGGGTATGGTTTGGAAGGAACAAACATAACGTGCTCAATCAAATGGCATTCATCTCATCCAACTGATAAGGCATACTTTGGAGTTGTCATTTTTACCTGTTATCTTTTACCCTTGGCTGTGATCATGTTTTGCTACTTCAAAATCCACAAAGTTTCCAAACATATTATACAAAATACTCATCAAATGAGTGGGCTGGCCATGACCGCCACGCAAGTGCTTTTGAAGAAGCATCGCAAGTCAGCCATGTACTTTCTCGCCATCATCGCTGCTTTTGTAATTCCTTGGACGCCTTACATCACAATTGCCTCCCTTCTGGTGCTGGGTAAACTTATCAATCCTGTAGCTATCAGTGCAAGTAAGGTTTTTGCAAAAGTTTCGTTTTTCTTAAACCCAATGTTATATGCCATTTTCCACCGCAGGTTTAGACGGCGTTTTATTTTATCAGTTCCTAGATCGAGACGAGTTGTGGTGAGTCCTATCGGTTTACCATCAGTTTCGCGAACTTTAGCGCTTTGAACGACCCGGATGCACATTATTTTTTCACTCCATTTATATTCAAGACCATGTAAACAGTCACTGACTTTCATTTGCACCCTGTTAGTACCACAGATGTATTAGTGGAGCTCTCACGCGGGAACAGTAAGGCCTCCCTGAACATAGGCTTATTCAAACTTCTTCGCACACTTGGTCCGTGTATGTTACATAACACATATGTCAACTGCTGACCATTACAATCGCGGTATTTCGTTGCTGAAGATCTCAATGGGGTAATGGCTCTTATACGGCCAATGGTTAATTTCTTTCCTTTTTTTGTACGATTAACGGTCAAAATTTGTTAATTTTTACGCCCAAAGGCTAAATTACTTTGCCCTTTTGATGCTATTGTATAACCCCAGCGAGAATCTCAAAATAGCCCTTAGGAAAGAAATAAACGAAGGTGCGGTGTCACGAGTACTTGAAATGATAAAAGCATTTAAACGTAAAAAAATTTACTCATAAAACAAATTCTGTGAAAGATGATAGCCTTTAAAGCCACCTGTTTAATTTCTTTTGTGAATCGTTTTAAATGAACTCGTTTGTTTCTGACAGGTTTAAGTAACGGAGGCCAGAGCGGAAACTTTTAACTATCTGGAGCTCTTTTTTTAAGACTAAGAAAGCCTCTTTATGATTCTTATCAAGTTTTTGAACGCCTGAAGTTATAATTTTGTCTTCGATGTGTATGGTTGTAAAAATGTTCGTTTTTGTCCGATAAAAAACAACAAGGAAATGCAAGCGGTCTGTATTCATGTAGACCACTTGTCCATTGATATTATTGCCGTATGTTGCATGTAACATGCTTTGCATCACTGCATCAATAGCTAAATAAATGATATAAAAGTATAGAATAACAATAAATCCCAATGACTGGAAGGAATACAAATTTGTGTCTATCTATATAATTTGAAACAGATATCAGTGCAATGAAACAAGTCAGCGGCCCTCGCTTAAAATCTTACCAGATACTATTTTGCGACATTTAAAGCGCAATTTTCCTTTTGGTTGCATATTTACATATCATTTTTTTTCTCTGACTCTGTGTCGTTATCCCTCAATCACGACTGAAAATTTTCACTTTACGCTCACTCCCCGACCCCTAACGACGGCCCTTACCCGTTGATGGTTCCTTGTTTCAAGAGCATGGACTGCATAAGTCAAAACTCATTTTCAAATTGTCTCAAATATTTCACACGACGCAAAAGAAATGTTCTTAACTTCCCCTCAACCTCTTATATCTATATATTGGCTGCCATTCTGGACGCAGTTTTTTCCCCAGGACCTCTCAGATTTCGAAAAAGCGGTTTTTTAAAACCGATTAGCCACTGGAAACAAATTTTGATGCATAAGATGATTAAAATGCCTTCAAAAATGCGGTCCGTTCGTCATGTTATAAAAGTTTATCCTCTATTTGAAGTGTTTAAGCGACATTTCTTAATTTTTCTTGAATTTATAAAAATTCAATGCCGCTATGTTTGCGACCGGAGCCTGGATGAGAAGAAGTTATTAGATATTTGGATCAGAATGAATTGTTTACTCGCTTTCTTTGTAACAAAATATAACCGAAAAGCAAGCTTACAACTACATGTGCATTCGTCAATAGGCTTTTTTCCATTCAAGAATTCCTAAAAGCTGCAATATTTTATTTCGTTATGATTGTGATAAATGAGTGTTTTTTGTTTTCATCCTTGTTATCATTATTATTAGATTGCTATTATTTTATTTATCTTTTTTTTTGACAAAAAGTTTCAGGCTTGTATCGAACCGTGTTTTTTTGTCGATGGTCCATTATTGGGGGCTACTTTATATCCAAGATCCCAATATTCTTTTGTTATTTTAATCCCTTATCTCTCGAAAATGATCATTATCGTGGTAAAAGAGCCTGCCCTCTTTACCGCCGAAATATACCCTACCTATTCGGCAGTTAATGTTGGGAAACTAATTTAAATTACAAATGTGTTTTAAAAATCGGTATAATATTTGCGATCAGTCTTGCACGGGAAAGACAGCTTGCTAATCAAAGGAAATCTCAGCGTCTTTTGCAATTACTCTGGAGCCAAGTAAAAAGGAAATTTTAACGTTATTACCGCGGATAACGACAGTTCTATTAAAAGCGTAATGTGTCTCCTCGAAGTTCGACGTCGAAGATTGATGGAAATCATTCATTTGACTGAGATAAATAATCTTCGCATATAATATTTCGGACAGAAGAACTCAGTTTTGCATCGATTTTAATCGCCAGCCGTGAAAACTGCATTACAGCATTGAATTAAAAAGTTAGAGTGTAGAGCGTATTATACAGCGCGGGACAAATCCTCGGTGATAGCCGTAGTGACAGTTTTTATTGAACCACGTTATTTTTGAGGCAGTAGAAAGAATTTTTACTAATGCGTTGGTGTCTTGACCGCTCATTAAATTTTTTTGACTTCTTTTGTTGGCATTTATTTTATTTTTAGAGTTTTTAAATTTTTGTAACTTTATTCTCCGGGACATTATCGAGCAGGAGATGAAAAATTCTGGAAATCAGCTCTTTTAGGAAAGGAAATATTAGAAGGAAACCATCTTATAAGGTTTTTTTTATAGCTCTGTGGCTTATTGGCTCATCTGAGCTTGATATTACGCCTACGCCAAACTTCTGCAAAGAACAAGAGGATGATCGAGTAAATGTCTTATTAACAAAGTACCTTTTGCTCTGGATACGAAAGGTTTTGTTGTCAGCGTTCTTGATTGGTTACGGATGGTAGAGCTTCATATATTGTTACTGATTTACTTACATAATTGCATTTAAATTATGGCCCGCTTACGTGAGGTCAGATTACCTACGGACTCCTGTGGCAAGATTCGAAAGTTTACGTATGTTCAGATGCAGATCTTGGCGAAGTTCTATCGCGTTTTTGCGTGAGGTTACGTAAGAGTTACGTAACGCCGGTAGGTAGTTTAAGCGTCGTTTTTGCTAGATAGTTTTCTTTTGCTAGTTGACCTCAACAAGGGCAGTCGTTTCGTTGGTTTTTGCTAGCGCCGTGGTACTTTTGTAAGAGAGTTTTTGCTATCGGACTTGGTTACATTACAAATTTCGAATAAAATGTACCTAAATACTACACGTTTACACGTTTACTTATTTACACATCTTTCATCTTTACTTTTGTCTATACGAGAGTTATTAAACGTGCATTCAAGTTTGGCGTAAATATGTAGTATTTACTGGGCTACAAAATCAAAAGCAAAGCCAAGTTATCACTGGCGAGCGCCTCCCTTCGTGGAGCCTTAGCTTAATAACGAAAATCATTTTGATAATATTTCCTACTGCAAACGAAATTCCGAACCTTACTCATCGCCTTTTGATGGTTTTAGTGACCTAGAAAAGCGAAGAAATAAAAATTTTCGCGCGCGCGCCAACATTGAGCAAAAACCGTATGGAGCCTCCTTAGGTCGACTGATAACTTTAAATTCAGCCTTTAACGAAAATGTTCTTCCTCCCTTTATTTAACAAAACTCTCAATGAAGTGATGAAATTAGAAGATCCTCGCAGCTAGGAACACTACTGAAACTAGTAGTTGTAAATAGGACCTGAAAAAAAATTCAGGCCCGTACGGGATTTGAACCCATGACCTCTGCGATACCGGTGCAGCGCTCTACCAATTGAGCTAACAAGCTAACTGGGAGCTGGTCAATGAATTGGGTACAAATAAACATCCAAGTGAATGAAGAATTTAGATATATGAAAATTCACATATTTGCACTGCGGTGGAGAGATGAAATTAGAAGATCCTCGCAGCTGGGAACACTACTGAAACTAGTAGTTGTAAATAGGACCTGAAAAAAAAAAAAAAAAAATTCAGGCCCGTACGGGATTTGAACCCATGACCTCTGCGATACCGGCAATGTTAGATGCGGGATTATTGGGGCTCCGACCAAATCTTTGTTTCTTTTTGCATATATTAAAATCTGATGTAAAATTGATTGCAAGAAGATTTTTATGTTATTCGTCGGCCGGGAGGTTCCTATTGGGAAAAACTGTTCCCGAGGATTTGAGTACCAAAACAGAGGTCACAGTTTTTTCCAATACGGACCGACCTAGGCTGGTGAATAACATTTTTATTTTTTCTAAAACGAAATGCAGGTTAAAAGAACCAGAATGTGATTACGACAAGATCCTCCATAAACTGAACTGATGGTAGTTAAAACAGAGGTAATGCAAATTAATGCTTAACCGAAATTCTTTTTTTTTCTGTGTAATGATAGAGGTTATTTAAAAATGTGCTTACAAGTATCTGTCACAATCTGACACCTGTCAAGTAGAGAGCGCGTGAAAAATAAAAAAAGCGCATTTACACTTTTGAATGAGAACAAGTTGTTAATCAGCTTGATTTGCTTAAAATATATTGCCCTGCTGGAAAAACAAAACTTATTGACGAAAAATGGCAACGGAGCTAGGGATGTTCTCGGTGACTACGAAAGCGTTACCGTGCCCGTGGGCAGAGATAGGAAAATCCGGACCGCGTTAAGAGCCAATCAGATTGCAGGATTTGTTACCGTGCCCTCTGAGAAAAAAAATTTAAGTACTGTATGCTCAAATCTTAAGGTATTTCTCTTTTTTTTCCTAGAATATTGTCGAGGAGCAGATGGAAAATCTGGAAATAATTATAATAATAAAAAAGCAGGACATGGAAGGGAAGAATGCGTTGTTTTTTTGTTTTGTTTTATGGTGAATTTACTCATCTAAACTTGTTAATCTGAACCCGGTTGTTCAATAGGCTGGATAACGCTATCCACTGGATAAATCTCTATCTGGGGGACAAAGTAATACATTTTGTTAACACTTATCCGCTGAATATAGCGATTTACTTGTTGGAAAGCGTTAGCCGCCTTTAAACAACTGAACCCAACAACAACATCAACATTTTCCAAAGGGTTTCAGAACTTCCGCCAGCAACCGAAATGAATTTATCGCTAAATCCTGGTTGCGTTTACGTTCTTTTGCA